AGGCACTCTTTTCCAAGGTAGTCACAATGCCTTGTCCTTTTCAGACCTTACCTAGAGGTCACTTTCTCAGCTGGCCTTTCCCTGAGCCCATCTCTGGTCACCCCACATACACATACTCATACTTTCTATCTTTCCTGGTCTTTATTTTTCGGTAGTGTTTATCACTGTCCAATATACTTCTAACAGTACTTTCATCATTTTTTTTTTGAGACAGGATCTTGGCTATGTAGCCCAGGCTGGCCTTGGACTCAGAATCCTCTTGTTTCAGCCTCTCAAATGCTGGGATTACAGTTGGCACCCCCATGACTGCAAAAATAATTGTCTTTATTATTTGTTCTCACCATGAGAAAGTGACAAATGACCTCCATGACGACTGTTTTATCCACAGTTGTAAATCACCAGTAATTACACCAGGGGGCAGTCAATAAGTTTTTATGGGGACAGGGAACATAGGTAGCTCAGTGGTAGAGCGTTTGCCTAGCACGCACCAGGTCCTAGGTTCAATACCACAAAATAAATGCAGGGATTTTTTTTTTTTTTTTTAATGACTGCATGTAAGGGCAGAGCCTGAGAGGGAACCCATACCTGCTGGGTCTGCACTAAGCCAGGCGGGGTCGGAGTTGCAAGGCGGAGGATCTGGTTCTGGGAGAGAAGGGAGACGGTGGCGTTTCTTGGGTGGGTCCTGGGCTTTTATCCAAGATGGAAGCTCGGTGCTCCCTCGGGGGAGCGACGCCGGAACTGCCAGGGAAGAGCAGGAATTCCTGACATCCAGGCCAGCCCGGCGATAATAGGCACCTTGGCGGCCGCCAGCGGAACCACCCGGCCCTAAATCACGGCCGCCCCCTCCCTCCCCCTCCCTCCCCCTCCCCCTCCCCTTCTCCTTTCCCCCTCCCCCTCCCCATCCCTCTCCCCCTTCCCCCTTCCCCTCCCTCCCCGGCTCCGCCCACTCGCTGCAGGTGCCGCGGAAGTGCGCCCCGCGCCCCGCGCCCCGCGCCCAGCGCATCCCGCCACGATCGATCCCGCGGGGCCGCCCCTACCGGAGCCCGGCCACTTGTCACGAGAGCATGGCCCCAGAATTATATACCGGGAGCGGTGGGCCATTTCCTGACCTGTGCAGGGAAGGGCAGGGACCGGCCTGGAAAAGGAGGAACGGCGGCGAGGAGTAGCCAGACTCTTTGGGGAAAGGATGGGAGGGCGCGCTCCCAGCTCAGGGAAACTTGTCCCCTTCCCACATCACTTTGCTTTCATGAACCGTGATTTGGGGACTCATATCGGGGCCAGTCGAGAAATCTGTATTTTAAGCTAATTTTTTTTTTGAGGTGCTGAGGTTTGAACTCAGAGCCTCACACTTGGTAGACAGGTATTCTACCACTTGAGCCACACCCCCAGTGACAGGGTCTCACTCTGTAGCCAGGCTGGCCTTTGAATTCCTGCCTCTGCCACCTGAGTGCTGGAATGACAGGCACACATCATCATCCCTGGCAGTGATTATCCTAATATCAAGAATTACAGCATTAATTCAACATCCAGCAAATACTTCCTCACACCTACTATGTACTAGGCACTAGAGGTGACACAGAGGTTCAGTGTGATCTGCTAAACCCTGAGATAGAGTTAGGAAGCCCTGGAAAGGGACCCCAGGGCTGGCTTCACAGAGGTGGAAAGGCCGGCAAGCCGCTGAGGCTGGCAACCAACTGCAGGCCACCAGAACTAAGTCCAGAACTCTGGTGGCAAAGCTGCTGGAAACCTTCCCTGCAGGTGCCCACTGGGAACTGCAGTAGATCCTGAATCCCCTCTGACCCTCCTCACCTGCAGTAGGGGTCAGCCAGTGGACACAGGCCTGTCACTTTTGCTCTCTGGTGCGCCCCAGGCAGCAGATCTCAGCCCCAGCAGGCTGGCCCTTGTGCTGCTCCATCTTCTCCTGCCTTGTAGCCCATGATGTCTCCTGCTTGTCTCTCTCCATTTGCCCCGCCTCAGCCTTCTATGTTTTCTATCAGTCAAACCCTGTTCATTTTTCACCCTTGGTTGAAATTAAGTACGTTAATAACTCCCCCCGAACCCCCAGTGCTGGGCATTGAACCCAGGGCCTTGCACGTGCTAGGGATGTACTCTACCACTAAGCCACACTCCTAACCTCAATAGCTTTTATTTTAAAAGATAAATAAAGGTAAATACCGGGCCTCTCATAGCTCCAGATGGTCAGTAGGGGGCTTGGGTTCCAGGGGAAGGGGGGTGCTCCCTGAGCTGAGAATGTAGGCACAGTTCAGAGGGGTTAAGGCCTTGGTCTTGGAATCAGAGCTACACTGCAGCTTAGCCCTCTAACTTGGAGTACCTGATCTCTCTGAGACTCAGTTTTTAGGCTGTAAAATGGTTTGATAATAACAGGCCTTCCATATAGGATTGTTGGGAGGCTAAGATATGTGTGTTGAAAGCTCTTCGTGCCGGTCCTGGTCTGTGATGAGCACCTCGTGGAAGTCAGTGCCAGCACTACTAAGACCGCGATGGTTCTGATTAATTATTACAGCAGCATCCTGTCCATAGTGGAGAGTGACTTCTAGGATGCAGTCACTGGAGAAAGGAAGGTGCTAGAAACAGTTTAAGCTTCTTTATCACCCACTGGCTTCCTCCCCTCAGCTCCTGTACTGCTCAGGTCAGTTCTCCCCTCTGGGAGACCCCTGGAGGTCTAGAGGAAGAAAAGTTCCTTTCGATGGGTCACCTCCATCCTTCTGTGGAGATGGGGGTGCTCATGCTTGGCCACCTACATCCTCTTCATGGTGGCCTCTAAGTTCTCAGGTGAGCTTGGGCTGTGACCTACACTCAGGACTGGCCTCATGGGCGTGGCCCTGCACAGTAGCTTAGAAGCACCTGGGTTTAGTTTAATGCTGTGCTGTTACTGTCTTCAAAGCTTTAACACTTTGCAACATGGGCCCCCCATTTTCATTTTGCACCAGCCCGAGCAAGTCATACAGCCCGTGCTGTCTACAGTCTCACGGAGAAGATACCTTCCATGCAAAGAGAAGGAAGCGGAGGAGTTCGCATAGAGAGACGCTGTGAGCTGGGGCGGTGGAAGGAAGAGATCTCCCACTTGACAGACTTCCTCTCCTATCTGGCCTTCTGGCACTGAGTGGTCCAAGTGCTCTGCACACCCCACCATTGAGTTTGGGGCCAGCATCTGTCTGGGTGAACAAGGGCAGTGACTCAACAACCTGACTTCAAGGGCTAAAGGACATGGACAGTGTTTGAGAGCAAAGGTGGCCATGGAATGTGGCACTCTGAAACCAGATGCCTGGGCTTTGGCCTATCTCCTGCCTCCTACGCTGAGGCCCAGTGAGTCTGACACTCACTGTCCTGTGACTTGAGTTAGATGGTGGGCAAGCATCACAGGTGCTCAGACACCAGAAGCCCAGGAGCTGTGTGGACTCCTGTGTGAGGTATGCAGGTGCGTGTGCTGTGTACAGGAGGTGGGAAGCCAATGAAGTACAGAAAACATCTGGTCCTAGCTACTTTTTAATTCTGCATATATTGTAGGTTTGGGAGGAATAGACCCCAGAAATACAAAGTCCTTAGGATGTTTAAAGTCTAGTGAACAAGACAGACAACAAATAAAGCACACAAATAAATACCTTCAGTTTACTTCCTAGAGCCCTGTTCTTTTCCTCTGTGCAGAAAGTCACAGTTTGAAATAATGGGTCACTGCTAATGCTCTTTGGGGAGATGGACATGGCCTCCACAGCCACATTAGGCCTGGCATTTGGGAGGTGTTTGGACTGTGGCTTGGAGATGAAGGTGCTCCAAATAACTTACTTGTAGATGCCTGAAATACCAGGGGGGTCTTTCTCTAGGATTAAGCACTATCGTTTATCTGAGGCTCTGTTTGAAATGTGAATCGCTGTTGTGGTGCGGGTTATGGTCATAGCATGACAGAGCTGGGTTATGAGAGAGGGCTGTCCAAGGGCTCTAGACCCTAAAGGATGCCCCTGATGGGTACTACAAAGGGAGCCAGGCATCACCCTCTGCTGCTTACTCAGCCCACCTCTGTCTGCAGGATGGGGACCCCAAGGTAGGTTGGAGGAGAGTTGGGCCCAATCCCTAGCCCAGAATCCAGCCTATCCCATACTGGTAGTTGAGGACCTCAGAAGCTCCACTCCGCTCATCTGCAGGGCCTGCTATCACATCCACCCCTCCCTGTGGACCTTTCTTGACAAGAACTCACAAGGTTCTTTTTCTTTTTTTTTCAAGGGTGGGAGGACTGTACTGGGGTTTGAACTCAGGCCCTTACACTTGTGCTGTACCGCTTGAGCCATGCCTTCAGCCCTTTTATGCTCTAGTTCCTTTTCAGATAGGTTCTCCGGTTTTGCCTGTGTCCTCTAATCACGATCCTCCTACTTATGGCCTCCCACATAGCTGAGATCACAGGCATGCCTAGCTTATTTGTTGAGATTGGATCTCGCTAGATTTGTGCCTAGGCTGGCCTCAAACCCCTATCCTCCCTATCTCCACCTCCTGAGTAGCTGGGATTACAGGCATGAACCATCCTGTCCAGCTTCAAAGTTCTTAAAACACACCTAACCCACCAGTGCCATGCTTCCGTGTGACAATGCTTATCAGTTCTGTGGGGGGGGGGCAAATTTGGCACTCTATCTGGGGTCAGGAGAAAGAGGGCCCCTGGAGTGAGGAAGAACAGGTTCCTCGTGGTGACTGGAGTGCTACTCCAGGCGTGGCCAGGCTACCCAGCTGGTCTGCGTACAAGAATCTACTCGCTAGCTTCTTCACTTGCTTCCTTCCTCTCAGTTCCTCCCTCACCAACATACCTGGGGGCAGGTAATAAAGCAGGAGGAGGGAGATGGATGGATGGGGAGGCAGGGAGCCACGTGGTGCCATAAAGCCCAGCTAGAGAGAGTCAGTCCAGGGAGTGTCCAGCTTGCAGGAGCCAGCGCTCAGAGGGTGCACCTCCAGCCTCAGCGACGAGGAGCCAAGGCAGCAGGGCCCGGGAATTGACCATGCTCCGCGGCGCGCCAGGACTAGGCCTCAGGGGCCTGAAGGGGGCCGAGAGCACTGTAGAGGACTTGGGGAACTCTTGCCCCGAGGCTGGGAGGGATTTTGAGTTATTGAAGGAGAACGGCGCCCCCTGCGCCTCCCTGGGGGAGGCTGAAGAGGCAACGGGCAGAAAGCGGGCGAGGCCGGTGCGGTCCAAGGCGCGACGCATGGCAGCCAACGTGCGGGAGCGCAAACGCATCCTGGACTACAACGAGGCCTTCAACGCACTGCGGCGGGCGCTGCGGCACGACCTAGGCGGCAAGAGGCTCTCCAAGATCGCCACGCTGCGCAGGGCCATCCACCGCATCACCGCGCTCTCCCTTGTGCTGCGCGCCAGCCCCGCGCCTCGCTGGCCCTGCGGCCACCTCGAGTGTCACGGTCAGGCCATACGTGCCGGGGATGCTGGGGAAGCGGGCTTCAGCCCCCCACGGCCCGCGCCGCCGTCCGCAGGGCCCAGCCTTGATCGCCGGGACGCCACCGGTCACTTCGTGCCGCCTGCCCCACGCTGCGTCTCGTGCGCCCCGCACACGCACCTGGGCCGGCCCAGGGCGGTGACGGAGGCTCCGGGTTCGGCGCAGGCTAATGGAGGAAGCTGGCGCCGATGTCCCGGGGCTGCCCTTGCTGGGCCGATCCCCTGGCCGCGGGGCTACCTGCGAACGGCTCCTGGGCTGGGCCACCAGCACTCTTGACCGGGTCATCGGGTCATGGAGCACCTTTAGGCCTGGGGGGAGGCGAGGATGGTAGGATAACTGCAGAAACGGTCCTGGACAGCAAAACCGAATGGGCTGCGACCTGAGTGGGAGGGGAGGCTGACTTGCCGTGGAAAGGAGAAGGTCTGGGGGACTGGGCGGCACCCCCACATCCCAGCCTGGGATGGCAGCTCTGAGAAAGAAGCCAGATCCTTAGGTTTGACCTTGAACTCTTCTTGGAAAGTGGCCTTTGCATTCCTGTGCCTCTGAGCCCTGTTTTCTCTTGCTGCTTTTGGACAGGGGAACTTGTGTGGAAGTGTGGGTGGGCACCTGCTGCGGTCTAAGGGCAACATGGGGCCTCTGTCCCTTGCTGGAGTCCTTGACTGAAGTCTGATCTGGGAGAGGCAGGAGAAGCAGCCAAATAGAAAAGAAAAATCCTCTTTGTCTGCTGCCACAACTCCACTGGCCTCAGTGGCCCAGGGGGACAGGAGAGCCCAAGAGCCGTAGGTGTACCTTGGAATGTTGAGCCAGGGCGCAAAGTCCATAGTCTTTGTCCTGGTTCATGACAAGACCCCAGGAGTGGCTAAGTACAGTGAGGAGAGACATGCTGACAGGACACTCCTCCCTGTGGCCCTAGAAGTGGGAGAGGACATTATTTGGAGAGTTTCACGAGGCCTGGGAAGCTAAGGATGTGATCAGCCTCCCTGCAGAGGTGCTGTCTGCAGTGAGCCACAGAGAGGGCTGCCAGAAAAGGAGAGTGTGGGCTAGTCCCAGGGAAGGAAGCAGGAGGTGGGGGCTAAGGACAGGAGGGTCAAGAAGTCCTGCTTATATCCCAGTGACAGGCAGAGCTGCCAGGGAATAGTGGACCAGGGTCTCTGTGATGACAGGTAGCCTTGGAATCCAGGAGAGATTATAGGGAGGTGGTTGAGGGAACATTGGGAAGGCTGGTTTCGTTGCAGAGCTGGACTTTCACCAACTGAGGGGAAGGGGTACATGCTGCCAGCTCAGAATGGCGGCCCCACAGACACTGAAGAGATGCCCTTAGGCATAGACCAGGAGGGAGTGAGGGTTCCACAGGACAGTTGAGGCAAAGCTTACTGCCACAATTAGAGATGTCTTTGCTTTCTGCTAATCTCAATGTTGCTGGCACACTTGCATCCTATTCCCAGCCATAACACTTCAGTCTCCTAATTTCACAGTCAAGACTGTGGCATAGGCTGCAGGAAGGCTTGGACTCTGGGACTAGTCAGGAGCACAATGTAGGCCTGGCCTCAGTTCTGCCACTGAGCCATGGACAGTGCCATGGATGGACAGTGGAGAGGAAAGAGCCAGACCTGCCAGGAATCTAACACCTGCTCCAAATCCTGCCATTTCCTCACTTCTCACTTGGATAAGGGTGACTGTGACATTAACAAGGTTCATAATGTATAGTTTCTGGAAATTACAAGCTGTTAAAAAATTATGACTATTTATTGTTACAGTCTTATGATAGACCAGCCTGGACAGTGCTTTAGCCTTGCCTTGGCTTCAGGGACTCATTCCCTGGAAGAATAATAAAACAATCAGCAAGCTCTATTTTCCTAAATTCCAGGATTAAAATAAAGAAGATTATTCTGAAGCCCCGAGTTCAAATCCTAGTACTGCTCTTATGTCCCCTTACCCCCCACCAAAAAAAAAAAAAAGAAAGAAAGTTGAGCCACAGACATGAGAAGATGTTTACAATAAAGAAGGTTCTACTCACCCAGCCACATTTTTAGCAGGAACAGCAAGGGTGCCCCCTGCAGGTAGACACTTGACATGAGGCAGATGACGGAGTTCAACCTAGGAATGTGACTACTTCCTTCTAATTTACTAGCTGAGTGACCTTGGGCAAATCACACAAAGGCTTTCAGCCTTGTGTTCCCATCTACATATTAATATGTATCTGTACAATAATAATGGGCTAAAATCAGTGCGTGCATAAAGGCTGCTGTGCAGGCTGAGACAGTGCACTTAAAGCACTTAGACTAGTGCTTGGCTCACAGAAGCACTCACCAAGTGGAAACCGTTCAGACATACTGTATTCACAAGGATGCTGTAAGGAGAGACTGCCTGGGCAGGGGTTATAATCCAGGGAGTCTGCAACAGTTACTTCATTGTTTATCATTGCTTGAGCACACACCCACAGGTTGCATGCTGATACATATTTGCCTAGCATTGGGTCAGGGCTTATCACTCAGGTCCTCAGGTAGTCTCGCCATGTGAACATGAGCTTGGCCAAGGAGTTCAAAGCCCTTGCAAAGGCTGAGTTGACCCAATTTCTGTGGGAAATTGGCCTAGAATTCTAAGATCTCTATGTCAAAAGCCTGAAACCCAAATTTTTATGTGGAGTAAATTAAAAAAAAAAACAAAAAAAACCAACAACCAAAAAACGTGCTGTGTGAATACTGGGCAGGCCAAGCCCACTTTGTAGTATGCATTTAATCTTGGGCCTCCATGGATGACCTAGATGAGGAGATATCTGGTACCATTGCAGACTGGAGTGGGACCTTGTCCAGCTGGCGGTGTTGGGCCACTGGTTACTGGGCAGCCCAAACTCCCTGCCCCAATTTAGTCATTCCCTCATCACCATCATTCACTAGGTGGCACTGCAAACCCAGCATTCTAACCCTGGCAGATGTTAGAGGGTTGCCTGGTCCCCAACCCATCTGGGCAACATGGCTGTCACTGACCATCCTGGGGATTTCTTGGCTTTTTTCCTTTTTATTAAATCAAAAAGGCCTCTTTATGTCTGGTTCATTCTGTCTTCCAGGCCAGTGCTACCTAATGAAAACATAACGTAAGACCCATTTAAAAAAAAATTTTCTATAAGGCACATAAGAAGTAAAAAAGAAACATGAAACTAATTCTAATGTTTTATTTTGTCCAATATCTCCAAAATATTGTCATTTCAACATGCAATCAATACAAATGTATGAATGAAATATTTTACTTTTACTTGTTTATTTTGGTATCAAGCCTTCAAAATCCTGTGTATTTTGTATGTTCAGTATATCATCATTTGGACTGTCATATGTCAAGTGCTCAGTAGCCACAGGTGACCAAAGGCTACCAAATTGGGCTGGACAGCTATGGGCCCTGCAGAGAACCTGGGTCCCTCCATCAAGGGGCAGCTCCCAGGCTGCGACATGGAATTCTGTGTGCCTGGATCGTGACCAACAGCCTGACGGTATCAGGGACCCAACTTGCCTCCTTGGAGGGGGTTTTCATATTTGAAAGGCATCAGTAAATTTCTGGAAATGCCCCCCTTCCCCGCCTCCAACACACACACTTCTGACCTGGGTGGGTAAGGGCCTGCTGGGGTCTGAGGTGGAGGAGGTGCCTCTCCCAGGGCTGCATTTTGCAGATAACAGTGGATTTCCCTTATTGAGCAAAAAAAAAAGTTAATTTAATATAGTTTATTAAACCTGAAAATTCATGCTAAAGCCACAAACACTTTCAAAATTTATTAGCTGCCAGGTGTCCTTTCTGCTCCACAGGTGCCCCCTCCCCACTCTCAGGTAGCCTTGCCTGCGACTCTCCTGGGGTCGCCTTCCTTCTCTCCTTCCCACCAGCTCTCTCTGTTCATTCACACTCCCTCCACCTGTCCAGTCTGGACTTTACTGGAAGCAGCATTTCTGAGGTCTGCTGGATACAAAATCCAAAGTCATTTCTTCCCACTAACATGGTCATTTTTGCTCTCAGCCTGTCCCACAACCTAGACCAGAAATTGATGTTTGACTGGGATACAGGTGGAGGTGAGCGTCTCCATTTCTGGGCCTCAGTTGCTAAAGTACAATAGCATAGATTTGAACCCCATGACCTCTGGGGCCCTCCCAGTTCTTTTTCTACATCACACAAGGCCGTGGGATTTTCAAAGCCTCCATATACCCCCTCTAAACTACCCACCTACCAACACCACCCACATATGCCTGGTGATGCCAGGTCACCCTTGTAAAACAAGGTAAGGAGAGAGGTCAGTGATAGAGAAAGAGGTGCCGAGAACACAGGAGGCAGAAACAGGAGGAATGCAAGAGGGAAACAAAGGCAGAGAGAATCAGAGGACAGCCAGGACCCAAGGCACGTCAGAGCTGGCACTTGCCTGAGCAGCCCTGACCAAGAAGGTCTCTGCTTCAGCACTGTGGGAAAGCCCAGTGGGCCTTTTGAGATGGGTGACAGGTCCCTCACAGCCCTGGATGAGCTGCTTAGAAACCCAGGTAGAGGGCTCTGCTGGATCCTCCAGGGGCCACATGACGTTCACATCTCCCTCCTGAGCCTCATACAGGCTTCGGCCTCTAGGTTTTAAGAATCAAGGTCTGGATGGTATCTGTTAGGTCCAACATTTCCCAACAGAAAGGAGGAAGCTGAAGCACATGCCTTTGTGACTTTGTGACACACTGTCTTTTCCCCATCCTGAGCCTCTGGCTTAGATGAGCAGGCTCTGGGGCTGGCAATGGAAACCAGAGGCTGTGCAAGTCCTTGTGGGCTGGGCTGGGCTGGGCTGGGCTGAGGCAGAGGGAGGATGTTAGTGTGGTGGTTCTCTGGGGAGAGGGGAATTGAAAAGGCATCTCCAAGGAGGGCGGAGAAGGAAGGAGGCTTCGTGGTGCACACACACACACACACACACACAGAGCCTCCCAGCCTCAGCCTCAGCCTTACACTGGAGAGGAGCATTCTCCTCTCTGCTCTCTGAACATTCTGTTGCTTTCCCGCCCATCTGTGCTGTCAGCAGCACCAGCAAAGTTGGCTTCAAACTTAAACAGTGTGGAAGGCTCCAGATTCCCAGGATCTCCGCGGATCCAGCAGCAAGCTCCAGCCTCTGAACTTGGCCGGCCTCGAAAGGTCTTCTCTGAATCCTCCAGCACCCAGCTGGCCCTCGGTCCACTGAGCAACCCTTCTGCTCTTGCCCTGGGTCCCCCAGTCTGGTCTGGGGAATGATGTGCTGAGGTCCCTCTGGAGTTCCTGGTACCAGCCTGAAACTGGAGCAGCCCAGGACCCAGGCCAACATGACCAACCCAGTGCCTCAGTTTCCCCGGGCGCAGGAGCTGGGCTCCACCTCACCGCTGGACCTGCCTGAGATGGAGAAGCTCCTCACCAAAGTGGAAGATAAAGGTGACAAAGCCCTGAATCTGTCCAAGTCCCTGTCTGGGGCTTTGGACCTGGAGCAGAATGGCCACAGCCTGCCCTTCAAGGTGATCTCTGAGCGGCACCGGGATGCCTCCCTCTCTGGCTCTCCTTCCCGGGCCAGCTCACGGCGGGCATCCTCCATCATCACTACTTCCTATGCCCAGGACCAGGAAGTCCCCAATGACTACCTCGTTCTTGCCATCGCCTCTTGCTTCTGCCCCGTCTGGCCCCTCAACCTCATCCCCCTCATCTTTTCAATCATGGTAAGTACTTCTTTTCAGGGGTGGGGGCTAGGCCCAGACGGTTTGGAAGGCCAGTTCTCAGGAAGGGGTATAACATATGCCACCAGAGCACAGAGAAAAGAGAGTCCTGGGGGCTTGGTGGGAGACACTTCCTCATCTCCCTACTTCTTCCAGAGGGGCCCAGGGACTGAGGATTTCTGTTTCTGTGCCTCTTTCATCTCTGCTCTTGGGCATCAGAGCCCAGCTTCATCCCATCCCTGCTGGGGGAGAAGGACTCAGGAGCCACCTAGAGCTAAATTCTGCAGAGCAGAGAGACAGCCAAGTTTGCGGGGCCTGCCTTTTTGGAGGGGCTGTGTCAAAGAACCTTTCCTCCACAGAGCTCTGTATCAGCAGAAACTGCATCCAGAAGGGGGTCCCAGGGCCCCATATATACCCAGAGGGAAGCCAGGTCTCCTGGGCCCCTAGGAATTCTACCAGCCTCTGCCAGCTTCATTTTCCAAGCCATGCCCTGAAGGCCTCTGGGCCTGGCTCCCTCTTTGGGGAGCATGGGGAGGGGATGTTGGCAGGTTGCTCCTGGGTGGTTGTAGTTCTCCCTGGAGCCCTCTGGACCTCGTGGCTACCCAGATTTCACCATCTGTCTTTAGAGCAGGGAGTTCTGGGCATGAGTGGAAATTTTGAGAGTCAGAGGGCAGGGCTTGCTTTGCCAAGGAGGGCATGTGGGCAAGTCTTCAGTTCTGTGGGATTCTGAGTAGATTGGCTCAAGTCAAGCCATTCAGGTAGAGCTATTTACAGATCTCACAAAAAATGTCAGTAGATGTTAGCAAGTCACTTTTGAGGTCCAAGAAGGATTGATTAGGGCCAGAGGACTGGGTGAGGTGACACTGCTTCCTCTGGAGTGACCCTGCTGCTGCTGAGTCACCTATTACCAAGCCCCTAGGAACTGTGGTCACTCCGGCTCTGAGAAAGCCATATGTCTTCAATCATCTCTGTCCCTTTCATGAAGGCCCAGTCTCTATCTAGGGAGACCCCTGTCAGATCCAGAACCTCCTGCCAGGACACCAGGGGACACTGCCAGTGTTCTTGAGTGTGAGGGACTTGGCTGAAGAGACAGGGATGGGCAGGAGCCTTCTGAAGAACTTCCTGTGTTGCCTGCCACACAATCTCTTGGTTACAGGGAAAGGTCCCAGGAGGGAAGACAGACTTTGGGGAGGGAAATCACACAAGGACTCAGGAGAAAACAGATTCTAGAGACTGTGGAGTGGCTGCGGCGGGGGAGGGAATGGGACAGTCATGTTACAGACTGAATAGGAGCTGCCCTTGTGAAAGGGAGCCTGGCCCCAAGACTGAGATGCACCCCCAGCATTTCTATGTCCTTTTTGGGTTTTTGAGTCAAGTATAATGGCTGCTGTGCTAGGTGCAGATAATACACTGGTGCACTAAACCAGACACCACGGCCAAGTCTCAGGAGACTGCAGTCCAATATGGGGAAAATGTAAACAGGTCCTTACGACATATTACAAGAAGTGCCATGCTAGACACAAGCACAAGGGAATTGTGTCATCTGGAGCAAATCACTCCAACTTCTCAGTTTATCCATCTGCAAAACGGGCGTTAACCTAATGTCTGCATTAGAGAGCTGTGAGGGTGAAATGGGAGTGCTTAAAAACAGCCTAAGTGCTGCTGGGAGTGTCCCTAGTGGGGGATGGGAATAAAGCAATCCACTGCAGGATTGCGTTATTTGTTGTATTTTGTTTTGTTTGAGGCAGGGTCCTACTACATAGCCCAGGCTGGGCTAGAACTTGCCATCCTCCTGCCTCAGCCTCCCAAGTGCTAGGATCTCAGGTACACCATTACACCCACATCATTGTGGGATTTTAAAAATAACTTTATTGAGATATAATTCACATACCATACAACTTAACCCATTTAAAGTATACATTTCAATGGGTTTAAAAAATTATTATTAAAATGTTTTATTCACATAAATTAATTGTACAAAGGGGTGTATAGTTACATAATGCAGAGGGACTTACAGGAAAGGATTTGAGATGAGTTTTGACCTAGCTTTGCATGTAATGTATTCCGATCAAGCTACCCCATCTATGTTACTCTTTCTTGTTTGTTTTGGTGGCACTGGGGTTTGAACTCAGGACCTCATGCTTGCTAGGCAGGCACTCTACCACTTGAGCTTCTCCACCAGCCTAATATATTACTCTTTCTTCACTCTTTTCCTTTTTCAGCAGTTTTAGTGGGTTTGGTTATGTTGTTTAGAGAATAGAATGGTGGCTACCAGTGTGACAAATGACAGAATTTCATTCTTTTTTTGTTGAATGGTAATGCAGTGGATTTCACGTACTCACAGAGTCACACTTAACTACAATCCATTTTAGAGTGTCTTCCTCACCTGCAGAAGAAGCTCCACACACTTTATGATTGTCCTCCATCCCTGCTCCTTCCCAGCCTTAGGCAAGAACTATTCTTTCTGTCTCTGTGGCTCTTCCTCTTCTGAATGCTTTGTGTAAATTGAGTCATACAACCTTTGTGACTGGCTGCTTTCACTTAGCATAGTGTCTTTAGGCTTAGTTCCTGTGGTAGCATGCACACGGCAGGGTGGTGGACTGAGGAGTGTGGTCACATTTCCATTTGGTGGTCAGTGAGAGGAGGGGCTGAAGGCTTAAATCTGGCATTTGGTGTTGAGAGTATAGGCTAGGGTCAGGGTTAGTGGTAGTGGTGGTGGTGATGATAAGGATGGTTCTGGAAATGCTCTAAGAATTGGTTGCATTTGATCAACTTAAATGACAAGTTGCTTGTTTGGAGGGAACTAAATGGCAGAGGATGTCATGAATGAATGTGCCTCTTAGGAACCAGGCACTGTGCTAGGCTTTTGGACAGTAGATGGCTAAGATAAGGGCTGGTCTGGCTGGCCAGGCACAAGGGTATGGGAGTGTGGTGGGGGCTGGAGGCAGGCAGGCACTTGCTTTGGGAATTTAAATTTTATTCTAGTGACTCTGAAGAACCCCTAAAGAGTTTCAAGCCAAGGTATGATGTGGTCAGTTCTTACTTTAAAATCAACACTCAATGTCATTGTGGGAAATGGGCTTCAGCAGGGAGACCCCATGTCCAGGCAAGAATGGTAAAGATCTGAACTCAGCAATGGCTCAGAAGGAATATAGTTGTGGGCAAATTGTTAAGGAGACAGGAGAAGCTGCTTCAGGTTCCTGGCTGTGCAACTCAAAAATATTGGCACCATGTTAGAGGGAGCCTCTGGGACATAAAACACTTACAGGGTGGGCAAAAGGAAGTGGATAGAAAAGGGTTTTGAAAAAGAGATCCAGGAAGGAGAGGGACAGAGTGGACAAAAGCTCTGGAGAGGTCAGGTTCAAGGAGGGCAAGCATGTCCACTGGGTTGGCCCTTCATAGAAGCCTGGTGCCCCAGCAATGGAGAGGCTTAGACAATGGAGGGGTGGTGATTAATAAGGCGAGGTCCCTGGAGAGGAGAAGCCATGAGGGCACAGGCGGGCAGAAATACTCAGAGGAACAGGGTTGGCCTATGGCCTCCATGCTCTGTGGTCTCCATTTCCCAGGGATGTGGAAAGCAAGGTCATTTGCCTTCCATAGGGGTCTGGTGGCAGAGTGAAAGGGTGGTGACCAGGGACACATTGGTCAATAGCCAGAGATTCTGCCAAGGCTCAAGACCCATGAATCAGGGATGCCATGCATGAGCCTGCACTGCAGTGTGACTGACTTCAGCTGGAGGTGGAGGTTTGTAGACATTAGGCATTGTGTGGACCCAAGGGTTGGGATGGCAGTAGTGCCATGATAGCAGGACCAGGTGGCACAGAAAATGCAGGCAGCAATGGCTGAAATGACATGCAGAAGCATAGGGCTGGATGACAAAGGAAGGAGGCTGGGAGGGAGGCCCAACGTGGGTAGTAACCTTGGAGGAGTCATGGGCTGGGGGCTCAGAGAACTCCAGGCGCCGGTGCCACAGTGTAATGGGGTGGGAGAGATGTTGAGGCTGAGATTTCAGAGAAGGATGCAGATGGGGGTGATGGAAAGGGGTGGAGTGTAGTTGTGGAAATGAATGTCTAAGGGGAAATATCAGGAGCCAGGCAGAAGGAAGTCGAGGGAGCTCAGTGTTAGGGGATAATATTCCTAAGTGCTTGGCACAGTTCCCACTTCTTTGCGTGCCTTGCCTCATTTCACTTGACTGTACCCCTGTGCGGCCCGGGTGTTGTTTATTCTCATTGTACAGATGAGAAATGCAGCACATAGCTATGCAGGGACCCATTAGTATGAGGGAAACTCAGAACTGAACGCAGCCTGGCCGCCCAGAATGAGTGACCGCGTTCCTACCCATCACATGTCAGCTGCCTTCTTGGGAGCCAGGGGCATTACTGGATGTACTGCCAGACTAGTTCACAGGCTGCTCCCATTCCCTGTGGAAGAAGGGAGTCAATAATTCATCTAGGGGTGTCACATAATGTCCCTCCCCATCAACAGCAGCAGGGCTAGAATGAGGGATAGGATGTGGTAAGAGAGCCGGTCTTCTGTGCTGGGACACTTCAGAACTCCTCACTAGAAGTCCCCTCCCAGGGGTTACCAATGTGGGATCAAGCCCTAGACCCTAGGATAGAAGGAGACCTACTTCCCTGCCGGCCTCTCCAGAGCTTCCCACTGTCTGCATATTCTCCTATGAGGTGACAGTCTGACTGACTGTCCCCACTAAACATGAGGCAGCTGGGCCATGAAGAACAGGGCCCTGCCAGGGTTGGATAGCTGGTAGGAGACTTGTCAGTGGATGCTAAATCCATTGTTCTCCCACGGCCCCACCTACATCTGGCTCTGGGGACAAGAATGGTGTGGTACTCCTAGGAAAGCTGAGAACCCATCAGCGTTCTCAGGAGGGGGAAAAGCCACTTCCCTATCTCTTGCCTCTTCCTCCCCAGTTCTCCTAACACTAGCACTAAGCCCATCAGGAAAAGACTATTGGCTGAGCAGGGTCCCTTTCCTATAACTTT